CCATATATGAAATACTCAAATATTATTTTATTGGTCAGAATTCTGACTGGCAAACAATGAAATCTATTCTCTGGCAAGTTGAAGCAGGAAAGGGATTTACTGAAAGATATTCGGTAGCTGCAGAATTATTGGGCGGGCTGGAGAAACAAACCCAAAGCACAGCTTCCAGGAAAAATGCCAAACCCATGCTGCAAATTAGCCTGGTTTTGGGGTGGGGCCACGCCGCTGCTGCTTTAGGGCTGCCATCACCAAGTCTGGGTGCCAGGCCCTCCACTTGATTGCAAGTGATGCTAGAGCTTCCAGGGCCGCTCCTCTCCCTCCCAGCTCTTCTGCGTCAGGAATGCGAACTTCAACTACTGCCCCCACCCCTGAGAGCCAGCCAGCTAGGCCACCTCCCCTCTCTTCAGAGTTGGTTTCCTTCCTGGCTCAGCTCAGAACCAAAGCCTCATGTGGCTTGTTGATTCTAAATGGAGAACCTGGGTTACATGCCACACCCTAGCCCCAGAGAAGTCTGGAAGTTGTTGTCTGGTTCAACATTTGGGTAGTAAGACTGAGATTGACCAACTCATCTCAACTTGGCCAGGACTTTCCTGGTTTTAGCGGTGAAAGTCCTGCATCCTGGGAAATCCCTGAGGCCTGGGTAAACCGTGACAACTGGTCATTCTACTGAGGACTCATAACTTGTGAATTTCCCCAAAGATAGAACAACTCTTAAAAAGATGATGAGTGAGGCACATCCCCTACAATGATGAATGCACATTGATGAAAATACAAAATCGTGGCAAATGTATCAGTGGCCAAATTGGTCATTAAACCAGTGGACCCATTTTTTCCCCTCTATATCTACCCATAGATTAATATTTGTTATTACTGATAATGTCTTATTGTGTATGTATAAGTGTTTATCTTTGTTGTCTGTACCTCTTGTGGACCTATGTTTTTGATGACTCGACCCATATCTCATTCCATCTCACTACCTTTCCCAAACTCATGTCTCATATTCTGCTCCTGTTCACATATAATGATTTGGATAAAGTACAAATAATTGTCCTGGTCATCTTGTATTTCTAATATAGGATATTTTGTATCTGACAATTACTATAATGGATTTAAAGTGCCTTTTACATTTTAAAAGAAACCCTGGTGGCACAGTGGTTAAGCACTCAGATGCTGACCTTAAGGTCAGTGGTTTGAACCCACTAGCCACTCCTCAGGAAAAGATGTGGCAGTCTGCTTCCATAAATATTACAGCCTAGAAAACTCTATGCAACACGTCCACTCTGTCCTGTAGGGTCACTATGAGTCAGACTTAACTCAACAACAACTGGTA